GAGGGGGCCCCAGGCATCCACCCGAGTGGGCGGGGGGGGCATTCACAACACTCCCCCGGCACCCGATGCAAACAAACAGAAAAGTACTCCAGCTTCCTTATTCAGATTCTGAAATCAGTTTACTCTCAAAGAAATACAGAAATCTGGACTCTGGAAATGTCTTTTTCCATCCAAGTTTAAAAAAATAACGGAGGGGGCCCCAGGCATCCACCCGAGTGGGCGGGGGGGGCATTCACAACACTCCCCCGGCACCCGATGCAAACAAACAGAAAATTACTCCAGCTTCCTTATTCAGATTCTGAAATCAGTTTACTCTCAAAGAAATACAGAAATCTGGACTCTGGAAATGTCTTTTTCCATCCAAGTTTAAAAAAATAATCTCAGTTTTGTTTTGTTTTTTTTTCTAAATAAATGACTTTTCCTTATCATTCCATTTCAGAATCTCCACCCGATTTTTCCCATTAAAAACGGCCATTTTCTGCATCAAATCTCAAGTTAACATCACAGACTCGAATTTGACGACCGCTGAATGGATCCGTCTGCCTATTATTTCATCTCTAATTTAACCGAAATCACGATTGGTGGCTGCCTTTGATGCTTTCAAGCGCTGAAGCATGTGTAAAGTGAGCGGTACCTCTCAGCGTCGCAGGAAGGTGTCAAGGATGCAGTCTGCGCAGGTCATTCCACCTTCAGTGGTCCTCGTGTCCGCTTCCAGACTCCGGTTTCCATGACGACAAAGTCCGTAAGGATCCCCAAGGCTTGGTCTCTCTCTCATACACACGCACACCCTCTTCTTGGAGGGTCAAATTCTTGAAAACAATGAGGAGTCAGTCATATTGTGGTCATCTCTTGGGTCGGTGTGCTGATGTCTCCTGGATGAAGGTTCAAGAGAGCGGCTCCAGCTCTTGCAGTCAAACCATCTTACAGATCTCAGTGTGAGGGTGTGTCGTGAGACTGTGAGAGTGTTCCACTGACTGTAAATCCTTTCGACTTACTTTGAATCACCACCAGCCCCTTCCCTCCTCACGAATGGGAGGCTTTTTTCCTATTGGCCCTGCTCATTGTGTGATTCAAACAGCCTTCACTCCTTCTTTTATTTGTGTGCGTGGGTGACTCATGGTACTTGCCCCTGATAAAGGATGACAGCTTTTAATCACAATCTTTTTTTTTTTTTTCTTGAGCCACGCTTTAGTTGTGTATGTCGTCTAGATGATGCGTCATAGTTTGACTCTTGTCGCCGGAAGATATTATACGGAGCTTAAATGTTAAAATGTGTGTGAAGCACTCAACTGTATTTATAGAGCACTTTAGAATAACCACCGCTGTGTACAAAGTGCTGTACATGGAGCAAAAATAATGAATACAACAAACAATAAAGACCATGGAAATTTCAAAAACAGTAAAGCTAAAAAACAAGTCTCATGCTGAGTCAAAAGCCAATGAATCAAAATGAGTGTTAAGACGAAATGTACAGGGAACCAGTGACGGGATGCCAGAGTAGGAGTGATGTGCTCCCTCTTACGAGTACCAGTCAAGAGGCGAGCAGCAGCAGTCTGGACCAACTGGAGACACTTCATGGAGGATTGGCTGACTCCAAAGTAAAATATTAACTGATTGTATGACTGAGAACATGTCATTTTTCAAGATGGAAAGCACCACCACTGAAAGAAAGACAAAATAATTATGTGTGGATAAGACTTTTAAAAATCTCTTGAAAATGTGAAAATGAAGAAGGGGGACGGAAAACAAAATGGGAAAATATTAAGTGACTGGAAAAAAAGAAGAAAAAATAAACACAGCAAAAAAAAAAAACCTGGGGAAAAGATAATCCGTGAAAAATGTGAATAGAAGAAAAGTGAATAAAGGCAAACCAGGAAACCAAAAACAAAATAAAAAAGGAGTAAAGCATGTAAACAAAATACACACTATAGTTCAAATATAAAAAAAAGAAAAAAATACAATGAAGAAACTCGAAACAAGAAAAACTGGAAAAGGGGATTTTTTTTAATGCTCAAAAAAATGAGCAAAACAAAAATAAATTATGGGCAAAATGTGAAAAAGAAAAAAGAAACAAGCCACTCTGGAAATGGAAAAAGACCCCCCCAGGTCTGGATTTTTTTGAGTCAAATTAAGAAGAAAAAAACAGATTAAAAAGGATACAAAAACAATACTGAGTGAAAATATTTGCATGACTAATCTTGCTCAGACATTCCACTGTCGTGCCTTGAGAAGCCCTCCTCTTCCTTTCATCCTTCCATTTTCTTTCTTCACTTCTGTGGGAAATAACCTAGCCCCCTCTAGTGGTTGAAAGCCCATCCTGCACGATGGCCGATTGAGGAGCACCCCCCCCACACACACACACACGAGCCACAGGAACAGACAGAGGGCCAACTTTAATCATACAAGTAAGTCAAAGTGTCTTTAAATATGGTATAAAAATAAACGCAGAGAGGGGAAGAAAAATGTAGTTATGTTTTACACAAGACAGCAGACAAAGTATCCTCCTCTAGTTTTGGATGTAAACTTTTACAAGTGCAGTGGAAACCAATTATGTGCCGATTATTGGAGTGCAATAAAAGAATGCAAAGAAGAAATAAATAAATTCACAATAAACAATCATAGTAATATAGGTGTGTGTGTGTGGATAGATATATATTATATATTCATTCTGCACAACAATTTTCCCATAGCGTGACAAAGTCTCTCTGACGTCATCGTCACGTGAAGCAATGACATTGGCTAGATTTATCATTTGAAACGGATTTATTTTCTATGTGTGTGTTAATTTGACTTTATTTTCCCTTTTTCCTCGCTCTGACATCATTTGTTATCGTCGGAAGTGAAAAAGGAAGGCCTCCGATCCAGCAGGGAGGATTGAAAGCACCGGAACAAAACCGGATTTGGCCTTTTTTTTTTTTTTTTTTGAAACTTTGCTTTATTTTTGATATTTTTGCATCTCACTAAGTTTGTCAATGTTCTCCCCAGTCCCGCGATGCCTCTTGTTTTTCTTTTTCCTTTCTAATGTCAGTGACTGTAAGAGGAGGAGGAGAGAACGGGAGGAGCATTCCGCTGCTCTCGGTGGACGTGCAACGGCTGGAGGACGACAGACGAACAGATCGGGCCTGGCTCGCTCGTCGCCCGGGCAGGGCCGAGAGACGACGACGACGATGATGGAGAGATGACATGGCTGCTCTCCATGTCCCAGAGAGGGAGAGAGATGGCATTGATTTTTTTTTTCATTCTTTTTTTTTTTTTTTAAGCATGATGGCACACGACTGGTCCGTCGCTTGGATCCTGGCGGTCCTCCCCTACGGTGGAAAGAGACACAAATACGTGGGAGGGGGAATAAAAATCACATTTCATTCCTTGGCAGCAATGAGTCTCAAAGTGTGGCTCATGGGCTCCTAGTGGAATACGAAAGAATCTCTGAATGAAATACAAGTAAAATACGTTCAAACGTTCTTGTTGGCTAAATGCTACATGCTAACGTAATGGTACAGGAATTGACTCGCATATGTGCAGGTCAATACCCCAAGGCATTATGGGAAAATTACATTTAGCCAACATGTATTAGTATTTGCCAGTCAAAATTCTTTACTCCACATTGGCAGTTCCATGCTTCAATCTGTAAATAGGTCGCCTTACCTGGAAAAAAAAACAGCTTTCAGAAGAGGTTCTTGCTCTTCTGTAAGGGGGAAAAAGATTTTGTTAAATGTTTTCATGAACACATTTAAATGTCAACAAACTCATCATGTGAGAAATTTTACTATACAATGTCACATGTGTGAAGTGTCCTCATAAACAGTTGTTGGAGGTTTTACTTCCCGAAGGCTAAAGGTGTTTAGTTCGGGCTGAGAGACCTTTATTTAGACAGTGCCGGTATGTTTGAGTGGAATACATTGAAAATGATCATGCTTGATTAAAATAATATAACTTTCAGTGAAAAGTCTGTCAAGTGAAATTAGAGTTAAAAATATCTTATGTTAAGCTCACTGTCAACATTCTCTTTGGCGGAATATCAGGTAGGAGGTTCTCAGACTAATTAGAAGCAGTCGCTGATTCATGTAATGACGACAGCTTCACAATTCAATTCAATTCTATGTTTCATTGTGGCCTACATGCCAGACAGAACGCCTGATGAAGTGGCCCGTCATCCCCACCTGAAAACAGTCTATTAAAGAAGCGGCTTTGAAATTCCCTGTGCACATTATTGGTATGGCTGGCGCGCGGGCGTCTCTTTTGTTTGCGACGTCCTTCGTTTTGACCAGCGCGTCGCACGTTTCAGCAACTCGGAATCGTTCTCGGTTCTCCTCCGCCATTGTTGTATGCAAGCACAGATATCATTTCTGCGCACACAGAGACGTCTACTTCACGCCGCCTCGCACTGAACTCCCCATGAACCTGCATGAGGTTTATTCCTGATTGCGGTGGGGGGGATGCTTGAAAGGATTCCACGGAGAAACAACACCCCGGCTCTGCTTTTGATGCGGAAAGCAGTGGAAACCAAACCCGAACGAAAAACCACTTGGTCATCACTGGCAACAGACTGACAAAGCAGAATGCATTTTCAAACGCCCCATGCTCCAGGTGGCGCTAGAACCAAAAAGCCCAAGGTCACTTTAGCCAATCCAAAGGCGAAAAAGTCACCTAATTAAAAGACCCACTGGTGACTGGGGGACAAGGAAATAACTACTTGCACTTAATATTTGTGGAATTTTTTAAAAATTGTTATCATTTTCGACCCCCCATAAGATATTTGTGGTAAATGAGCTGCCAGTTATATAGCGCTTGGCATTTTTCCCAAAGTCACCGACTGATAACGAAGCATCAGGAGCAACTGAGGGTTCAAGGCCGGGGATCGAACCGCTACCTTTGGAGTGAGAAACGACCATTCTACCACTGAGCCTTTGGACGCCCCTCCCGTCCCTCCGCTACGTGCGATGGTATGATCGCTATGCAAAATAGTTTTACACGCACACCAGGAGTAGAACTGAATAGAATTTCCTTTTTTACTCTCTTTGTTTTTTAATGAACAAAAAACAGTCAAAACGGCTGTCGTAAGGCTCAAGCTGCCACTAGCATTAGCATCACGTCGTTCGGAAGAAACTAGCCGGTGCGGCTAAAAGGTGAACAAATTAGCACGAGCCTCAACGACAGAATCTTCCAGCAAGCTCACGCAGACCTTTGGCGTCATTAGCACAAGGTGGTAAGTCTCATTTTTTTTTCTTTCATCCACTGCGGCCAAGCAGGACGCTTAATTCACATTAGCCTGTTAGCACCTCTAAAGGTACTCCTGCTGTGTCCTTGCTGTGTAAACGTACAATCAACGTAAATGAACTGCATCAACGTGTCTCTCAGCAATCATACCGCAGAGCTTTTATTTTGTGATCTTATTTGGTTGCGTGTATGATTATTGCTCATGTTTGGAGGTTTTTATTTCACTGAAATGTTGTTGTGTGTATGGATGGATACTTCAACATTGTTGCTAAGGAGTGGTGAAACTATTTTTAGTAGTTGAGTCTCTGGTCTTTGCCGGCTCTTAATGTGTGAATCTACAAAAACACGTACTTATTTTTTGAGCCGCCAATTTAGGGGGAAAATGTCTGGAAGTGGATCATTCTGAATTTTTACAGATTTGTGACATCACAATTGGCCTCTTTTTCATAGTCTGCCATGCTGTCTAGCAAAACTATAACAGAGACCGTGATGGGTTTGCTTTGATTGTTGACTTTTGGGAATTTCCTTCT